CCGAGGCAAGATCCCGCTTCCCTTGACTTGTATTTCCATTATTTTTATCAATTATTAATTAATCACATAGAATAGACTGCGATATGTTATAACCTGCGTGGGATTGTTGACAAAAGATACTATATGATATTGATTACTGTTGTAGTAATATTCATGAAGAGGAGTATAATATGTTTTTTTGAGCTGTATGTGATGAAAGGATATTTTGACAATTAGATTTTGATTAATTATGATATGTTTTTGGAAAAAAGAATATTTCTAAGGATTATTTTGAATCATTATAGTAATAAATAAGTTAAAAGAGTTATTTGGGAAAAAGGATTATTTTGAATTATTAAGAAATAAATTTTAAGGATTTTGTTTTGAAAAAAAGATTATTTTCAGAATTAATAAATTTATGATCATGACGATTGGAAATTGTGACATTCCATGTGTATTTATTTGATAGTTGTAGTTACATACTGCACTATTATAGTAGTCGTTCACGATTCTTGTTCATGATTTAATTACGTGATATGTCATGATTTTATTGCATAGAATTTGCTGCATTTATTATTCCATGTTGTGTTTGAGAGCTATTAGTAGTTCATGACTTAGTGACCTTGTGCGTCATGAATAGACCTTGTGACATGTGTGGGTGTGTTGACTGAGTTTAGGTGGTGAACCAGAGTTTTAGTGTGGAATACGACTGTAGCGTAGTGGTTTTCTTCCGTAGTAGTAGTTGGACAATAGATCTCTTTATCATATTTTTCTTTAATTTGATAATGGATTTCGTATTTTTACCAGTACTTTCATTTATTATGGACTATGTATTTTTATTCCTAGTTGGACCGTTTTTGTAAAAAGGGTATGTTTGACCCATATTTTTATGTCTGGGATGATTTATAATGGAAGATATGTTTATTTCTTATTCTAAATTGTCTTTATGTTCTTGCTATTGTGATCGGGGACCAGTGATTGAGATCTATGTATTTGACGTTTAGTGTATTGGATTGAGAAGAAAAGAAAAAAATAATAGTGTATATTTCTTCTCAATCTAATACGTCACGGGCTTGTTCACGTTCTGATTCCCCGGTATTTTGGAAAGTGGGGCGTGACATTAGGAATAAGAGTAATTGAGGTAGAGTTTGCAATCCCAAACAATTTACCAGTCTTAAAAAAGTCCTCTATAGCTAAGGTAATCTTATCCCTAATTATAGGCCATGCAACTTTGAAAAATGACATACTGTATCAATCAGGCCCTGGGGCTTTGTCTTCAGACAATGAGAATACGGTTGCCTTTATTTCATCTTTTGAAACTAGTTTCAACAACTCCTTGGCTTGAGAATCATTCAGGCATGGACCTGCTTTAATGATGTTAATGTCAGGTGGAAGAGTATTTGTTGCCTTGCCCATCAGATTTTTATAATATGATGCAAGCTCTTGCACAATTTCTTCACTATCTGTAATTCTATCTCCCCTGCTGTTGTAGAGTATTAGAACTCTATTATTGTGCCTTTTATACTTTGTTATAGCGTGAAATAGTTTGAGCTCCTATCACCATGCACATTCTAAGCAATTCTGGCCTTCTGTTTATAAAAAGACATTTCATAATTAAGAAGTTTGTTGTATGTGAGAATGCACTCTTTCTCATGTTTAATATATTCAGGATTGAGAGGGACTGATTGAAAATTCTCTGAGCATTTTCTAAGGCAATTTTTGCTCTTTGCACTTGTTCACTAATGTTGTAAAAATGTTTCTTGTTCGGATCATTTAACTCCTTTCTCAACATTTTGAGTTTTGTATATACTGAGTACATAGCATAACCTTTAATATGTGTTTGCTAATTTTTTGAAACAGTGGGTATGAAATTTGTATGCTTGGTCCACATTTTGAAAATTTTGAATGGCTTCTTTCCTTGTACCAAATATTCATATACTGATACTATAGCTGGAGAATGGTCTAAAACACTGGGGAGCATAAATTCCATATGGCTAGAGATACACTTATCAATCCATGCATAATTGACCAAGGCCCTATCCAGCCTACTCCAGATCCTTAAATTTGCGTCCTGTTTATTGTTCCAAGTATAAAAACACCCCTGAGTTTTCAAGTGACTGAGATTACAATCCTCAATGATATTTTTAAAATCTTTGGTGTCAGCCTCTGTTAGATTTATTCCACCAAGCTTTTCCTCATTATTCAGTAAGGTATTAAAGTCTCCACATATGATCCATGATACATTTCCAATATTCTGGGATATCTAATTAAGTTCTGCTCACAAATCTTCTCTAGCTTCCTGTTGGTAAAACACATACATTGCTGAAGTAATACATCTAATTTTACCATCCAATGAGTTCATAGAGCAAGTAATATGCTGGTCTGACAATTTGATCACCTGAATGTTGAAAAAATTTGCATCCCAGAGGATAAAAATTCCAGCTTTCTGAGATCCTCTAACATTTGACATCCATTTCTAGTTTTTAGCAATCCTCTTAGCAGTTACATCCAGCAGTGATTCCTTTATCTTGGTTTCAATGAGGGCTATAAAAGATAGATGATACTGTAGATGATAATTTTTCACCAGCTGCTGTTTAAGGGATTTGTTTAATCCCCTCACGTTCTAAAAAGATAAGTTCATAGGATGAGCCCCCCCATCAATTGCACAGGGGTCACATTTGTTATTTCCTCCATTTGATTTTCCTGGAAAAATTTTCCTTTCTTTGTTTCCTTGAACAAGTATCCAGTTTTCCCCATTATTAAGCTGTTAGCCATGCACAACATGCACAGGATCTTCACTGTCCATGTTTTGAACATTCAGCAAAATTTCTTTGCCTTTTGTTTCTTGAGAATTTGCGTGCTTTGTGTCTCCATTCCTCAAACCCTATATTGCACTGAAAGAATCCACAATATGTTCAAGCTGGCATACCACATCATTTCCTTGCCAATTTTTATTATTTTCCTGAGTTCGCACAACCTGCATAGGAGATGAATCCCCCAGGAGGAGATACATGCACAAGAGGTACATGTACAGAAGATACATGCACAGGAGATACCACTAATTTCACCCCAGATTCAGCAGAAGTTACGTGCACAGGAGGTACATGCACAGAAGATACAAGCACATGATCAATTTTCTACTTTGGTCTCCATCTCTGGACCTTCACCACTTATTGCAATATACAGTTTCATGACCCACCATTTTACAAGTTTCACACCATCTTGGCTTTAATTCATAATACACCTTCTGTAGAAAATTTTTCCCATTTGGCCCCTGAATATGAATCTCATCAAGGAGAGAAGAGGGCATTGTGACTTCAACCAACACTCTTGCATATGCTAGCCTTTGTCTATTTTCTATAAGCTTATCTATAGCAATGTGCTTACCATAAGACTGGCTTTTGCTAATACTCCTTGCATTCCACAAGTTAAATCTCAATCCTGGCAAGTGTATCCACACAGGGTAGACACAAATCCTTTTTTTTCCTAGCTCATCATCAATAGACCAATGCTTCAAGAGGAGAGGTCTGGAACCAAGAAACCATAAACCATTCTCCAGTATGGTACTCATATCTTCCAAAGATTTGAACTTGGATAGGAAAAGTCTAGGTTTTAGAAGACAGACTTCTGGTACTGCTAAGTTTCCCCATACTTTCATCACATAATTTTTCATAGCTTTGTATTTTACATTTAATCCCAAGACCTGTCAAATAAGAGAAAACTTCCAGATGGAACCACCTTCATTCCACTCATCTTCATCAAAATTTACCGAATCACCAACATCAAGTTGAACATAATTAAGATTAAAACTATTTCCAGGTTTTCTATTATCTGCAAAAAAGCTCACCCACCTTTTTTTTATTGATATCAGGATCTGGAACAAGCACTTCTCTAGAATTTTCATTAGAATTCTCTAGCAATTGTAAACTATTCCTCCTTTTTCATTTGATTTTACAAGTGGCGGAAAATCTTTCTCCCCTCCAAGAAATCCAGTTTTATCATTACTTTGAGGTGAAAACTCAATTGGATCAGCGATTTTTCCATCCAGATTCAAAGGTATAGTATTTTCATTTGAAATCAAAGAAGAATCCAAAATCAAGGAAGAATCATTGTTATGAGTATTTTCATTGTTATGAGTATTCTTTGATGAAAAGTTTGATAAAATTCCAAATCAAGATCATCAACCCAAGAAATCCGAGACGAGCTACCAGAGATCGAGGACTTACAAAGATTTCGTGATTGAATTCCGTTCTTTTCAAGAATCCAAAATCAAGGAAGAATCATTGTTATGAGTATTTTCATTGTTATGAGTATTCTTTGATGAAAAGTTTGATAAAAATTCCAAATCAAGATCATCAACCCAAGAAATCCGAGACGAGCTACCAGAGATCGAGGACTTACAGAGATTTTGTGATTGAATTCCGTTCTTGTCAAGAATCCTCTGAGATTGATGAGAATCTACCAAGAATTTGTTTGAATTGAGAATATCCTCCATCAGTAACTTCTTCTTCTCTCCCCTTGGTCCCGTTGATCGCATCACCTTGAGCTCAAAATCTTCATCACCTTCAGCCAAACTCGTACCTGATTGATCACCAGATGATTGCAAACAAGAATTTGCAGCCCTCAATCCTAAATTTAGGATCTTCGTACCATTGTTTTTCTTCTCTCTTGCCATTTAAAACCCGACGGGGGCGCAGGTTAGCGGGAAAAAAATCACCCGCTAACGTGCACCATGAAAAAAACGCCCATTAGCTTTTTTAATAAAGGGTGTTAGAGTTGCATACACAAACAAGTAACTTTTTGGTTGAAGAGTGAAGGTATCTCTCATTGAGTATCATGAAAGGGAAAGATCACCTAGATAAGACAAACTTTATGATCGTAAAAAATGTAAAACTATTAAGCAAAAGGGAAATTGGTGAAGATACTTTCTCTGCTAACAATCAATCAAGAAAACATCCTCTGAAAGAAGTGCATTGCTGTAAACTGTGGTAAACGTTAAAATGTAGCGTGGACAATCTTACTTTGATAAGCTACTAAATAAGCTATCTTCTTGATTTTCATCATAGTACACAATGCCATGTTTGCCATGCACAACTCCTGAAGGAGCACGTACAATTTTTCCTGCAGTTCAGTGAGCCTTAAGCTTTAGTCATTTATATTATGTTAGTCTAAGGTGTAGACCCAAAGTTCGAGACAAGAGCTGGAATAAAAAAAGATGAGAAAACGATCAGAAAGATCCACGGTCGACCGATCCGATCGACCGCGAACGTGCACAGGAGCTGGGAGAGCTTGGATCAGGTCACGGTCGACCGGGGCGGTCGACCGCCAAAACCCTGTAGGAAAACTGCTCTCGGGTTTTGCAATCGGTCGACCGCGTCGGTCGACCGCGAGACCATCGGTCGACCGCGTCGGTCGACCGCGCGTATTTTTGGCAGGTTCCTGTTCTGTTTAGGAATCTGTTTCAATCAGGATTCTATATATATACCCCAAACGTTTTAGGGTTTGTACAACATCAAAAAGAGAGCTTTTTGACTGCAAAGAGAGAGAATCTCAGAGAGATTAATCTCTTGTTTGAGAGCTTGTATTTTCTTCTTCAATTAATCAAAGAAATTGTGTGGTGTGGCTCCCGAGGACGTAGGCACGTTGCCGAACCTCGTTAAATCTGTGTGTTCATCTCCTTTACTATTTTTTGCAAGTTAGATCTTTATCTGTGGTTTTATTCCTACTTTCAACACAAGGTCCGAAAGGGCAAGGATTCGATTGATTGTTTCGAATCCCCAACAACTAGTATCAGAGCTTCATTCAGCAATTTGTGTGAAAGCCATGGCAGAGGAAAACAAATCAAAGATTGAGAAGTTCGATGGATCGAATTTCGCCTACTGGAAGTTGCAGATGGAGGACTATCTGTACCAGAAGGACTTGTATTGCCCGTTGATGGGCAAGGAAAAGGGAAAGAAGAAAGAGGAGTCAAATGGTGATTAGGAGGTACTGGATAGGAAGGCTCTAGGATAAATCTGGTTGTCGCTCGTCAAATCAGTAGCCTACAATATTCTGAAGGAGAAGATGACGGTGGGGCTTATGGAAGCGCTCGCGAAGATGTACGAGCAACCGTCGGCAGCAAACAAGGTGCATCTAGTCAAAACTCTTTTCAACCTCAAGATGGCAGAAGGACGGTCCTTCATGATGCACCTCAGCGAGTTCAACATGATTGTTGATCAACTTATCTCCGTGGACATCACGTTCGATGACGAAGTGAAGGCCCTTCTACTACTATCGCAGTTGCCGGATAGTTGGGCAGGTTGTGTGACGGCAATCAGTAATTCGGCGAGGAAAGAGAAGTTGAAGCTGAATGAGGTTGTTAGCATGATTCTATCCGAGGAGGTTAGAAGGAAATTGTCCGAATCAGAAGGTTCAGGTTCAGCCCTAAATTTCGAGCAGAGAGGCAGAAGCCAGAAGAAAGGGAACCAGAACAGGAATCGGTCGAAATCAGTGAAGAAGAGGCCGAACTCGAAGGTTAGGTCTATCAAAGGGAAGTGTTGGAACTGCGGCCAGGAGGGCCATATGTCTTCGGTCTGTAAAGCACCAAAGAAGGATACGGGTGAGCAGGAGGCTCATATCGTGTATGATGCCTTGATCCTTGCTATGGATAGCGATTCTGATTCTTGGGTCATCGACTCATGAGCTTCTTTCCACACCACTGCTAATAGGAAACTACTTTCAGAACTATGTAGCAGGGAACTTTGGTAAAGTATACTTGGGGGACAATGAACCTTACAATATTGTTGGAAAGGGCGACGTTCAGATACAGATAAGGGCTCTAAGTGGAATTTGAAGAACGTGAGACACGTGCCGAAGCTGAAGAGGAATCTTGTTTCGGTGGGACAACTTGGAGCAGAAAGCTACGTTTCAACATTCACCGGGGATTCGTGGAGAATCTCCAACGGTACGATGGTTGTTGCCCAAGTCAATAAAACGGGAACTCTCTACCTCACTTCACATGCGAGTGACACCCTCGCAATTGCAGCTGGCAAGGAGAGTACAGATCTGTGGCACAATAGGCTGGGACACATGAGAGAGAAGGGGATGAAAATCCTACATTCACAAGGAAAGCTAACCGGGATCGACGCCGTGGAAGTCGGGGTTTGTGAAGACTGCATCTTTGGGAAGCAGAAGAGGGTTAGTTTCCAGAAGGGTGGAAGGCCACCTAAGGCTCAGAAGCTAGAGTTAATTCATATAGATGTATGAGGCCCAGCCAGTGTGTCTTCTTTTGGCGGTTCGAGATACTACGTCAACTTTATCGACGATCACTCGAGGAAGGTATTGGTTTACTTCATGAAGCACAAGTCAGAGGTGTTCGAAATCTTCAAGAAGTGGAAGGCCATGGTCGAGAACGAGACAGATCTGAAGGTGAAGTGCTTGAGATCAGATAATGGTGGAGAATACGAGCTAGAGGAGTTCAAGAGACTCTGTGCTACGAATGAGATTCACTTAGAGAGGACTACTCCAGGGACACCGCAGCAGAACGGCATTGCAGAGAGGATGAACAGGACCTTGACAGAGCGTGCGCGGAGCATGCAATTACATGCAGGTCTGCCTAAGACATTTTGGGCGGATGCGGTGCATACGGCAGCATACCTTATTAATCACGGGCCATCAGTTCCATTAGATTTTGGGATTCCAGAGGAGGTTTGGAGTGGAAAGAAGATAAATCTCTCACACTTGCGGGTATTTGGTTGTGTGGCTTATGTTCATATCAGTGACCATGTCAGGGACAAGCTAGAAGCTAAGTCACAGAAGTGCACATTCATTGGATACGGCATTGATGAGTTCGGGTATCGCCTTTGGGATGAAAAGAATAGGAAGATCATCAGGAGCCGGGATGTGATATTCAATGAGGAAGTGATGTACAAAGACAGGGACAATGCCAAAGATAACCAAAGCAGTGGGAGCAGCACTACGGATACAGGCGGATCCGAGTACATGGATATAGAGGAACTTCCAGATAGGGGTGATGATGTTTGTTCTGACCGTAGAACGGAGGAGACTCCAGGTGCAGAAGAAACTACCCAGGGTGTGGAGCTTAGGAGGTCATCCAGGGTAGTTGACAGATAGCGGTGAGCCGTAAAGCTATGAAGAGGCAATGCAAGTGAGTGAATCTCAGCAGTGGGAGCATGCGATGCAGGAGGAGATGGATTCTCTACTCACTAATGAGACATGAGAGTTAGCCCAGCTACCTGCGCAGAAGAAAGCCTTGCACAATAAATGGGTCTACCGGGTTAAGCAAGAGAGTGATGGAAGCAAGAGTTCAAGGCCAGATTAGTAGTGAAAGTGTTTCAACAACGGGAAGGAGTAGACTACACGGAGATATTTTCCCCTGTTGTGAAACTCACAACCATCAGAGTGGTGCTGAGTTTGGTGGCTGCAGAAGACCTCTTCCTTGAGCAGTTAGATATGAAAACTGCCTTTCTTCATGGTGACTTGGATGAAAAAATCTACATGAAGCAGTCTGTTGGTTTCATTGAAGAAGAAAAGGAAGAGATGGTGTGCAAGCTCAAGAAGAGCTTATATGGTTTGAAACAGGCTCCGAGATAGTGGTATAAGAAGTTTGATAGCTTCATGCAGAACAATGGCTACAGAAGATGCAATTCGGATCATTGCTGTTATTTCAAAAGGTTCGAGTCCAGCTTCATTATTTTATTATTATATGTTGATGACATGTTGGTAGCAGGACCGTGTTTAGAAGAGATAAACAGTTTGAAGAGGCAGCTAGCAAAGGAATTTGCAATGAAGGATTTGGGTGCAGCGAAGCAGATTCTAGGGATGTGAATCAGTAGGGATGAAGCTGAAGGGACATTAAGATTGAGCCAAGCTGAATACATTGAGAAGGTACTTCAGAGGTTCAACATGCAAAATGCTAAAGTTGTTAGCACACCCTTCGAAGTCAGTTCAAGCTATCTGAGGAGCAATCGCCTAAAACAGATGCAGATAGAGAGCATATGAGCAGGCTGCCATATTCTTCAGCCATTGAGAGTCTCATGTACGCGATGGTTTGCACGAGGCCGGACATCGCCCATGCAGTGGGAGTTATGAGCAGATTTGCAAGCAATCCAGGGAAGCAGCATTGGGAGGCCGTGAAGTGGATAATGCGGTACTTGAGAGGGAAAACAAACAAACCACTATGTTTCAGGAGGAAGGAATTGGTACTGCAAGGATACGTTGATGCGGACTTTGCCGGTGATCATGATACGAAGCGAAGCACCACGGAGTATGTTTATACCTTAGCGTCGACAGCAGTGAGCTGGGTCTCACGTCTGCAGAAGATTGTGACTTTATC